AATCGGTTTTTGAAGACGGCGTCGTTTCAGCTTGTGAAAGGCTTCTCCAGAAACCACCACTGTAAAATCTGTTCCACATCTCTTTCTCTAACGCAATCACTTCTTCATCTTCTTCCTCCTCAATCACTAAATCGTCTTTGCTCTCTAATGGATGAACAGCGAATTGCGAACTCCCTATTTTACTCAGCTTCTTATCATTTTCCGTAAGCCCTTTCTTCGCTAGTCGTCTCCGTCGCACTCGGCGGATCGCGCGGCGGCAGAGTCCGCGAGGTAGTTTGTAAACGGCGAGGACGACGAGATTCACGACGCTACAAGGACCGCAACACCACAACGCGGCGCAACTCGCTGTCGTACCACCGCAGCATTCCGCCGCCGTTGATCCTCCTCCGCCGCATAACGTCGGCGTTGAGAGACTTCGACGGAGACTCGGTTGTTTCTGGCTCAGAGACGAATAAGAACTCGACGGATTCATTATTCGCAAAACAAATCTGAGAATTTTAGATCTCCGAATCACAATCGATCCTCTTCTTCGTCTTTGCTTAATGTGCTTTCACCAATTTCAGAGCAAAATAAAAATCGGATTTTTCCCGAGAAAAATCGCCAAGAAAATCAGTTACTGAATCTTAGATTCCTAAAAGATAAAGACCCAGAAAGAAGAATCGAACATGAAAGAAAGCGAAAGAGGAAAAAAAACACACTTTGACACGAAAATTTCCCCCAGTGAGAAAGTATTTTCTCGAGAATCTCAAAGGTTTAGTTTTTTGAAACGGAGAAAGTGATCGTACGTAGGAAGATGGTTTTAGGCTTTTTAGCCTTTTGGTCTTCTCTACTTCTTTAAGATTAATAAAAGCAAAAAGCTTTAAAGGCAGAAAATGATTTAGATTTGGGTTTGCTATTTCGGTTATGTTGCTACCATAGAAAAAGACGACCGTGAATCAACCAATCATATGTCATATGTGTTTATATAATAGTGTGGATAAACTTTTATCATAATCTGTTATTAGTTACTTATCTACAAAATATTAGAGTTCAAGATTTTTTTCTTATCAGTTTGTTTAAATAAACTTAAAATTGAATTTTTAAAGGTTCAAGAATATACTTTTTTTTGTTAAAATAAAGGTTCAAGGATACACGTTCATTAAAGATCTTCTTATCTCTAAAGTTTTGACTAATTATTAAAAGTTTATGTAAGTAAATATCATAACCACTAGTAGATAATTATCACACCAGCATTCTTACTAGCAATAAAAATATCACTCTATAATACTTAAATATGTTGACAAATAAAATAATGCTAATAAAAAACATTATGAAAAAAAATGATCTACTTTGTTGATTTTCTTATTTGATTAACCAATACAACTACAGTATCTTATTAAAATTATTGGAAAATCTTCATATAAAATTACACAAATATAATACAAAATCTCATAAATATTTAAAAATAGAGACTATATTAAAAAAAAAAAAAATTTACATATCAAATCAATTACAATAATGTAGATTTTGAAGCTGACCTTTACCATCAAACTAAAGGCCCATTTCATTATATCAATTTAAACCGGCCCAGTTTCTTTATACCAAGAAACGGTGCCACGTGTAAAACATACTATTCACACCTGTCCCTCTCTCTCTCTCTTTAACTTTTTCCTTAACGACGAAGGAAACATGGGGAAATCAGAAGCCATTTAACATCATAATAATACGTTTTTTGAAATCATTCCTTGAAGATAACTTTCACAAACAAAGAAGAAGATCAGCTTCGTCTCTTCCAGAAGATCATAGATGGGTCTTCTCTCCAACAGGTTGTCGTCTTCTTCCTCTCTTCAATTTGCCCGAGAAATTTTCTGCTACTTATAATCATCAATCTGCGTTTTTTTTTTTTTCCTCACGAAAATTTGTGTGTGTTTGAATAGAATCGATAGATCGAGTTTGAAACCTGGAGATCATATCTACTCGTGGAGAACTGCTTACATCTATGCTCATCACGGTATGTATATTACTCTTCGAAACCAATTTTTGTTCTGTACTAGTGCTAAAATCGATTCGAGGCAATGTTCGATTTGAGAAAAGTTAGGGTTTGTGTGGGGATTTAGCCGATGAATTTAGGGTTAATGTGTAGGCATCTATGTTGGAGACGATAGAGTCATCCATTTCACAAGACGAGGTCAAGAAGTTGGAACTGGGACTGTTTTAGATCTCATACTTGTGAGCTCAGGTCCATCGCGAGGCCACACGCACTGTCCGACATGCGTTCCACCAAATGAAGGTCACGGTGTTGTTTCCTCTTGCCTAAACTGTTTCCTAGCCGGTGGTGTCTTGTACCGGTTTGAGTACTCGGTTAACGCCGCTCACTTCCTCGCTAAAGCCCGAGGAGGAACCTGCACACTCGCTGTTTCTGACTCTAATGACATAGTTGTCCACCGTGCCAAACACCTCCTTCAAAACGGGTTTGGATGCTACGACGTTTTCAAGAACAACTGTGAGGATTTCGCGATATATTGCAAAACCGGGTTACTGGTTCTTGAAGGAAGGACAATGGGACAGAGCGGTCAAGCTGTGTCAATTATAGGTGGGCCGATTGCTGCGGTTTTGTCCACGCCTATGCGTCTTGTGACAACAAACGTTTATGGAATGGCAGCTACAGCGGTAGGTGTGTATTGCGCGAGTAGATACGCTACTGATATTGGTATGAGAGCTGACGTGGCGAAAGTCGCAGTAGAAGATCTCACTAGAAGGCTGTCTTCAGGGCTGTTCCAAGTAATTGATTCTCCATTGGCAGCCATATCTTTACCAAGCACAAGCTGATGGATAAGCGTAAGCTTCGACTGCTTCTTCTTTTCTTACTGTTGTATTTTGTATTTCCCAGTTGCCATCTAAAAGTGTTTTAATAAGCACACTCTACTTGTACACTTGAATGTTTCTGTCGTTCACCATTGTGTGATACTGTGACGAGTGTAGGTGAACAACAATCGCTTGGTTTTATTGAAATTAAAATCAAATATGAACCATTTGTTATTCAGTACGGTCCGGTTTAACTTGATAGCGGATTCAGTTTGGTTTAATATATTGTTGTTTGGATACAGTATAATTTGGTCTATATGCCCTTGAGATAATTTGGATCCTTCAGGCAAATTAGTACCCCCCCCTAGCAAGGGAAACGAGACGAAAATAGTATGCAAAGCATCATATGTAAAATATGAATCCTTAAAAAGCTAGTGACGTGAAGATGAACCACAACGATACATAAAAGATGTTGATAACGCAAAATTGTTTCAGTCGATAAMAAAAAAAAAAAAGTAACCAACATGATTCTTGCCTTGCTCTAGTCTCCATTCAGATTTTGATTGCCGGAGATTTTGATTACACAAGTAAAACTGCATTTATACATCCGTCATTCTCTGGATTGTTCGTCACTTGAGCGTATTTCCCTGAAGTCAAAAACGAAAAGAGAGTCAGTTAAATCACGACACCACGTTTACGGCTTGCTTTAAGGTTCTGTATATTTGTCACTTACCCCAGACAACTTTTCCAGCTGGTGTAACAAGACCAAGCTCACTCACATTGACCTGAAAATCCATTTAGATATATGAGAAATTCAACAGATATTTGCCGCTTTAGAATAGGTGAAATTGATGTGTAGATCTCAGAACTAACCTCAATGATTGTTCCTCTGGTCATGACACCAAGTGATGTATACATTGGACCGTTTGGATTCTTCTTAATTCCAATGATCTCAAGACAGAAAGTACATTTAAGTTCAGGGTGAGTCACATGAGCCTTGGTGAAACGAAGTCCTGATGGGCGGATGAACCGCTCGTACTTTGGTGGCTTCCTTGTGAAACCAGGTCCAACAAATGTAGCTTTCGTAACCATCCGCTTCCACTGTTTTACTGTAGTTGAAGCAAAAAGGAAAAGCATGTCAATAATATAATCCATCCACATGCACTGACTATAATCTAATTCCCGAATCATAGCATGTACGATGATGAGTGAATAAAAAATCAAGGATCTCAAAGTATATATACATACTTTTCCTCTTTCCAGACCGGATCACTCTGAACATTTCATCTTCAGCAACAGGACGGACCTAGAAAAGGAAAGGACTATTAGCAGCCAAGAGAGCAAATTTAAGCTTACCCATTTCTTAGAAAATGACACTAAAGGAATACAAAAGTAGGCGTGAACCAAACACAATTTCCAGGTTATATATTATAAATGTATGGAGAGAGTTTCAACCTTTGGCAGAGGAACCTCCCATTTCCCAGCTTTCTCTTTCCTCTTTTGTTTGATGGTGTTGCTAAGAACCTACACTCAAACAAACACTAGTCATGTATTTGGCTTCACCAATTTTCAGAGAATTATTCGATATCGAATAGAAAACAAAACTAACCTTGGCCCGAGAGGTATTCTCACGATCAAGAAGATAAGCAGGAACAGCTCCCTCCTGAACATCCTCATCAGTCCTACGCCTTGATGATGACTCCTCGTGCATTTTCAATCTATCGAAAAACGTTACAAAAATTCAAAAACATATGAAGATTCAGTTTATCTATCGGTAAAACACAAAGGCATAACAAGAACTCTTGACTAAAAGTCTTCTCCAAGCATATTTTTGAAATTGCTAATTCATCGTATCACTAAAGCATATATTTTTGGATCAAATGATAACATTCTCGTTGATGAAACATAAGAATCAAAGCCTTAAGCTATAAAAAAACAAGTCGAAAAAAGCTTACGTTTTCTTCATGAGAGCTTTCTCTGAATAGTTTTTCTTCGAAATCATCTTACCCTTGAGACCTAGAGACTAACACTCCGCCCAAAAAAAAGACGAATCAGAACATGGAAGCCAAAATAGCTTGAAAAATCAGAACCAAATG